TTTGGCATGCCAGGGCATGCCACTATTGGCATGCCACCGTTGGCATGCCTTTGCCACTATGCCAGACACCCTACTTTTAAGGCATGCCATGGTGGCATGCCCGTGACCACTGTACCACACACACCCTAAAGTGTCAAATTGCAACTAATATTTTAATTTATCGTAATATTTGAATATCAACATTAATGATGTCCCAATGAATTCTTTGAATTATGACGAGTTACAATTATGGTTACATGAGTCCCATTGTGAATCCATAGCATATAACTTTTATACAGATAAATTATGTAAATGGTATTGTCATAGTACATCATGAAAGTATTATATTGTTGTAAATATAAAATTTACTTGGTATATATTTTTTTAGCAAAATCTTTAATAATAGATGCGCTTAAAGATATTACAAATCGAAAAAATCTAACTTTAAAGAAGAATTCTCTTTTTTATGTAGTTAGAATTTACTAAGCATAAATTTTCTGATTCATTTAATCTAAGACTATAACTAGATGAAATAAAATGGTAATTATCTATTAATTGAAGAAACTATCGATCTTTCAAATCCAACTTTTATGGTAATAATAACTTATTTATTGAAGAATAGGGCAAGACATTAAATAATATGTCTCAATGGTTGGGTTCAGGAGCTCATATTATAATCCGGAAAATTTAGTGACTCGAATGTTTAATGAGGAGATGAAATAGTTAAAGTAATTTTGTATTTGTATTTATGTATGTAAAAATTATGGTATAAATAAATTTTGTAATAAAAATACGCATATACTTGAGTTATGGCATATAAAATTAAGTTACATAAAATAGTTGTAACAATAAGGCACATACACATGTTATACCGTAACTAAAAAATCACAATCAGTTGTAATTTAGTTATGATACGGCATATCCTAACGTCTTGAGAATAATCCAATTATTCAACAATGGTTGAATTAAATATCACTATAATGCTAAATACCACCACAATCAACAGCTATTCGCATCAAGCACGCTAAACTTCCGTCTTCAGTAAATTTTAAATACCCTTCTTTTTTATTAAAAATACATCTCTTCCATGTCGGTAAACTATCTATTCGAATGTAATCATTTTATTTCTAAATGTTTGCTCTATTTTTGGTTTATTAAAATATTGGTATAAAAGATATTAGGTAGTTACTGAAAACACTACATACAATACCTTCAAAATCTAGACCAACACATTTATTACCACCTTTCGAAATTCTTAACTCATATTCGGGTATAAATTAGTACTTATACTAATAAGTGCAGTGCTGTAGGGTAGTTATCATCTGTGCACACTCATCATCACGGCAGAGCCGTGATGCAGCGTAATATCTGTCACAAATTTA